TTTTTGGGGGTGGTTTAATTTTTTTTTGGGGCCTTTTTTCAAATTTTTGGGGAGGGGGGGAAGTTTTGTTTTTTTTTGATGAAGGGGTGGGGGGGCGGCAAAAAATTTTTTGGATAAATGTCTGTTTTGTTATAATATTGGGGGGTTTTGGGAGGTTTAACTGGTTTGGGGGTGGAAAAAGGGTTTGCAAATGAGGTGGGTTTGGGATTTTTTTAAATTTGGGGCTTGTTTGGTTTAAAGGGGGAGGGGGGTTTGGAAAAAAACCTTTTTGGTTTTTGGGGGTTTTGGGGGGGAGGTTGGGGGGGGACAGTACAAAAGGATAGATGTGTTTTGGGGCATGTTTTGAATTTTTTTTCTTTTTTTTTCCAAAAGACCAAATTGGTGAAAGGGACGCGGCAAAAGGGAAAAACAGGAAAAAACTTGTTTAAAAAAAGGGAAAAGGGAATTTTGGGGGAGAGTTTTGTTTATGTAAACTGAGGGGGGGGGGGGGTTTGGGGGTGATTTCTTTGTTAATATGTTGTGTTTTGTTGCTATGGAATGTTTTTTGTTGTTTGAATAATTATATGTTTCTGATGAAGAAAGAATTACTGTTTCATTTATGTTGTAGGATATTTTTATGACATTTTTAAAGAAAAGAATTAAACAAAAAAATCTGTTCTTATCACGTGTCCAGTGGGGGTTGTCTGTAAGTTCCATTCACCCAAGCTTTGCGGGGATATGCTTGTTGTATAGTACCCTCACTGGTTTTGTAGATATGGGGGTCTCATTTGTAAGGCTTAGTATCCGGGAGGGACAGGAAACCAGGGGGTAGTGCCATACATATTCCGTTTCTGGGCCTTGGGAAGTAATTCCTTTTGGGAAAGCTGTGGAAAAAAACCAGTACAGTACATCCTGATTGGCGTTGGAAATTGAGGTCCTACCTTGGTCTTGGCAAGGGGGGCTGGATTTATACTGCGTAGAAAAGTCCGCAAACACCAGTGCCGCCTGATGTTTCGCCTCAGGGGTTGCTTCTTGGAGAGTAGCGCACTTGGGTATGCTAAGAGATAGATCCCCACGTGTAGAACATTTGTCACTTTTACTTATGTGTGTGTTTTTTCTCACAGGATGGAGGGTGTGGGTCCTCGGGCCTGCCTGAAGTCTAGGGGGAGGATGTGTGGCCTTTTGGTTCCTTCCTCCCCTGTCCCTGGGGGGTTTTCTCTTCGGGAGAGCCCCCCGACCAAGTACTGGATGTCCGGCTTCGGCTGGACATAGGAAAGGTGGTCCACCAGGCCTTTTGGCCAGGAGGACCAAACGGGAACCTTGTCCCTGTCAGGAGCTTCGTGCCCCGGGGGATCAGGGTAGTGGTCCAACCCCTTCGGGGGTAGGACAAAGCACACCCCTAAGTGCACTTTTTTGTGTGGTGTTTTTGCACTTGCACTTTTTTGTGAAACACTTACGGGTTTTTACGTTCTAGTTTGCACGTTTGCGGACTTACAATAAAAAAAAAAAAAAAAATCTAGAAGCTTATACTGGCAATGGAGAGAGAGAAGAGCGAGTCTTGGTGCTTCCAATCCTCTCCTGTAGGTTCTGCTGCCTGGCTCCTCTCTAACATTCTCCTGGATCTCCAGCCTGGTCAGCAAGCCAAGCTTTCCTGGTGTTACCCTTCTCCACCCCCTCTAATCATGATTTCCACTAACCGCCTGACCGATAATGTCACATTGGTGAAAACTCCTGTCTCATGACTAGAGCACCAGAGATAGGTCATCCAAATCCCCCCCCCTTTTGGATATACTTAAAGAAAAACATGACCCCAATTTTGGAGTAAATGGCCAACATGGCCTTTTATTAACAAACATTTTAACACACCAACCATTCCTTATAACAGAAACATACAGAGTTGTTGTTGTTGGTCTTCGAAGGCCCCCCCAAAAAATGATCTGAAATGCACCTGCGGACAACCATATTACACAAGGCCTCCAGCCGCCACCAACCAGCTCGGAGACAACCATACCGTCCGCAGTGCAGCACCACCACCTTCCGGTTAAACCTCGGTTAACTGGAATGTCCCCGGGCCCCCCATACCACCGATGGGGTCCCACACCATTACCTGTACCTCCAAGATAAGAACCGCCTCCAAAGACCAACAACCTCCCAAGACCGAAATAACCCCCCTTTCCCCGCGAGAGGAACACAATACTCCCTAAAATAGGGAGGGCGGGAGGGAAGCTCACTCACCAACGTCCAGCTCCGACTGATGCCCCCCCGCCACCGGGACACCCCACCCTAAGGTGCGGCAGAGCCCACCCACGCTCTCCTTCTACCAACCAGCACCCCAGCTATACTTTTCCACACCCCCTGGCACATCATTAACCCTTTCTATTTTCCTTCCCACTCTAGGCCTAGTCATGCCCGCCCTGCGATAATTTTCTTTTTTCCTTTCTACGGGACTTTCTTTTCTTGTATATAACATTTTCTGCATGAGGAACCAAATGTAGAATCCATTCACCAATAAATCTTCCTCCAAAAGCAGGTCCACCAAATCCCTTCCCCTCCCGAGCTGACCCAGCCTCTGCTTTGTGTTGGAGGAAGTGACCTCTGTCAGTATACATTGAGGTCTAGTCATCGGATCTGAATCTGGAGGACGAGGGTGGGGCCGTATGGTGACAACTGCTGCAGGATTACACAGAATTACACAAGAGGTTGGCCAAGCGAGGTTGCAGTTGGTTAAGATTTGTCATTGTCACCGGCTGACACAACGAACATAAAACCACAAAATGATCCGATGCAGTTAGTCCATCTATGGAGAGAGGAAGGGATATAATACACAAATGCCAACATCCCTAACGAATACAAGGGGGGAGGGGGGAACTTCCTCTTTTTTGGTTGGACATTAACAGCACAATATTACTTGTATGATACATTTCAACAATTCAAAAGAGATTTTTGATACAAACAGAATGAAATTTTATTTCTACAATCTTCAAAAATAAATATAAATCTACAATCCATATTGCGACGGTGTCACCAGAGATGGTATTGTAATGCCAATCATGGATCCTGCGTGGGTCGCACTTCACGCGTTTCGAGATCAACAAACATCTCTTCTTCAGAAGTGCCCAAGAAGACATAAGAAGGGACCAGGGGAAAGAGATCCCAAGGTCAAGGGGTCCCAATGAGGACAAACTGCGGCTTATATGCTCAAGAAGGCATGCCTGAGATATTTATTTATTTCAGGTACTTATATAGCGCCGTCAATTTACGCAGCGCTTTACATATATATTGTACATTCACATCAGTCCCCGCCCCCGAGGAGCGTACAATCTAAGGTCCCTAACTTACCTTCATACATACACAGACTAGGGACAATGTAGACAGGAGCCAATTAACCTACCAGCATGTCTTTGGAGTGTGGGAGGAAACTGGAGTACCTGGACGAAACCCACGCAGGCACAGGGAGAACATGCAAACTCCAGGCAAGAGGTGCCGTGGGTGGGATTTGAACCAACGACCCGATTACTGCCAGGCGGAAGTGCTGACCACTCAGTCACTGTACTGCCCAATATCAGAAATCCGTGTTCACGTGACAATTCGTTCTTAATATTTCCTGGCGGTTTTTAGCTGACATGGAATCATGTAATTGTATAACTATATTGTAAAGTATCAGATTGTTTACAATAATGCGATTCGTCATGTATATTGATACATGTATGTTTGTTATAGACGTCATGCCTTCTTGGGCACTTCCGAAGAAGAGATGTTTGTTGATCTCGAAACGCGTGAAGTGCGACCCGCGCAGGATCCATGACTGGCATTACAATTCCATCTCTGGTGACACCGCCGCAATATGTGATTGTAGATTTATATTTGTTTTTGAAGATTGTAGAAATAACATTTCATACTGTTTGTATAAAAATCTCTTTTGAATTGTTGCAATTCATCATACAAGTAATATTGTGCTGTTAAAGTCCCACCAAAAAAAAGCGGACGTCTCCCCCCTTGTTAGTCCATGTATGGAACACTCTAGAAGGGTTGTCTGGACTTAGGTGACCGCAGTGCGATGTGAGGAAAGCCAGCCATAGATGGTTCAAATCTCCACCGGTTCAGCAGGGACCTGCCAGGATTCTAACCATCTGTGAGCAGGCTGATTGTACCCAACTTGATTGTTGTACGACCAGGGGCGGACTGACCATTTGGAAACTCGGGCACTGCCCGAGGGCCCGGGGTCAGTAGGGGGCCCCATGAGATGCCCCTGGTACCTTTTTCATAGGCTTTTTTGAGTTTGGGCAAGGACACAGGGGCCCCATGATCCCCTATTGCCCGGGGGCCCCATGAGTTGTCAGTCCTCCCCTGTGTACGACTTGGGTGCAACCAGCACTTTTCATGATATTATTGCTAGTGGCTATTATAGCACTGGCAGGTAATCACTGTGTTCACCCAGTGGGGACGGCTAATGCCCCTCCCCCACCCCCCGCCATGTCCAATGAACATAATAGCTCCACAAGAGGGATTCCCCCATCAACAGTGACAGTGTTGATGGGGAACCAAGCAATTTTCTTCCCTGCAACTCATGGTAGAGAGAGAGGACCTTAAAGCCAGACCTGCACTTTGCATTGTTTTCGGTTGTAAAGCAGCATCACCCAATAGGCAGCCCAGCAGGCATCCTATAGCAGAGGATAGGCATAGTCCCTGCAAGGTCCTTGCTCTTCCAGAACCTCTCCCTCAGTCTAAACACTTTCCCTGACAGAACGTGTCCCTATGCTGACCACTCACAGAATGTGCACCAAAAGCCGGGGAGACACTACCCTCCCCCAAGATGGCTGCGGTGGTCAAGCAGGGCACCAGCATCCAATCAGACAGCTTCTCCTCTTGATGATTGCAGGACGTCATAGAAGAGCTGAGGTCCTCACAACTTACAGGAGAAACTGGAACAATGAGACTCTGGTGCATTCATTCATTCATTCATTCATTTATTTCAGTGCAGCAACTTAAAAGGTGACACTAACTAATATATGAGACTCATTCCATGCAAAGCAAGATAGTTCCAGCCGTGATTTGTCATCATTGTGATGATTATGGCTTACAGCTCATGAAAACCCCAAATCCACAATCTCAGAAAATGAGAATATTCCATGCAATCAATAAAAACACGGATTGTACATAGAACAATATCGCACCTCTGAGAAGTAGAAGCTGCATATGTACTCAGGACTTGGTTTGGGCCCCTTTTGCAGCAATTACTGCCTCAATGCGGCGTGGCATGGAAGCTAGCAGCCTGTGGCACTGCTGAGGTGTTATGGAAGACCAGGATGCTTCAATAGCGGCCTTCAGCTCTTCTGCATTGTTCCGTCTCATGTCTCTCATCTTTCTCTTGGCAATGCCCCATAGATTCTCTATGGGGTTCAGGTCAGGCGAGTTTGCTGGCCAATCAAGTACAGTAATCCCACGGTCATTGAACCAGGTTTTGGTGCTTTTGGCAGTGTGGGCGGAGCCAAGTCCTGCTGGAAAATGAAGTCAGCATCCCCATAAAGCTGGTCTGCGGAAGGAAGCATGAAGTGCTCCAAAATCTCCTGGTAGACGGCTGCGGTGACCCTGGACTTAATGAAGCACAGTGGACCAACACCAGCAGATGACATGGCTCCCCAAATCACCACAGACTGTGGAAACTTCACACTGGACTTCAAGCATCTTGCAGTGTGTGCCTCTCCAATTCTTCCTCCATACTCGGGGTCCTTGGGCCTCTCCATTCTTCCTCCATACTCGGGGTCCTTGGGCCTCTCCATTCTTCCTCCATACTCGGGGTCCTTGGGCCTCTCCATTCTTCCTCCATACTCGGGGTCCTTGGGCCTCTCCATTCTTCCTCCATACTCGGGGTCCTTGGGCCTCTCCATTCTTCCTCCATACTCGGGGTCCTTGTGCCTCTCCATTCTTCCTCCATACTCGGGGTCCTTGGGCCTCTCCATTCTTCCTCCATACTCGGGGTCCTTGGTCCTCTCCATTCTTCCTCCATACTCGGGGTCCTTGGGCCTCTCCATTCTTCCTCCATACTCGGGGTCCTTGGGCCTCTCCATTCTTCCTCCATACTCTGAGTCCTTGGGCCTCTCCATTCTTCCTCCATACTCGGGGTCCTTGGGCCTCTCCATTCTTCCTCCATACTCGGGGTCCTTGGGCCTCTCCATTCTTCCTCCATACTCGGGGTCCTTGGGCCTCTCCATTCTTCCTCCATACTCGGGGTCCTTGGGCCTCTCCATTCTTCCTCCATACTCGGGGTCCTTGTGCCTCTCCATTCTTCCTCCATACTCGGGGTCCTTGGGCCTCTCCATTCTTCCTCCATACTCGGGGTCCTTGGTCCTCTCCATTCTTCCTCCATACTCGGGGTCCTTGGGCCTCTCCATTCTTCCTCCATACTCGGGGTCCTTGGGCCTCTCCATTCTTCCTCCATACTCTGAGTCCTTGGGCCTCTCCATTCTTCCTCCATACTCGGGGTCCTTGGGCCTCTCCATTCTTCCTCCATACTCGGGGTCCTTGGGCCTCTCCATTCTTCCTCCATACTCGGGGTCCTTGGGCCTCTCCATTCTTCCTCCATACTCGGGGTCCTTGGGCCTCTCCATTCTTCCTCCATACTCGGGGTCCTTGTGCCTCTCCATTCTTCCTCCATACTCGGGGTCCTTGGGCCTCTCCATTCTTCCTCCATACTCGGGGTCCTTGGGCCTCTCCATTCTTCCTCCATACTCGGGGTCCTTGGGCCTCTCCATTCTTCCTCCATACTCTGAGTCCTTGGGCCTCTCCATTCTTCCTCCATACTCGGGGTCCTTGGGCCTCTCCATTCTTCCTCCATACTCGGGGTCCTTGGTTTCCAAATGAGATGCAAAAGTTGCTCTCATCAGAAAAGAGGACTTTGGACCACTGAGCAGCAGACCAGGTTTGTTTTTCTTTAGCCCAGGTAAGACGCTTCTTTGTTGTTTGTTGTTCAGGAGCGACTTGACAAGAGGAATACGACATTTGAAGCCCATGTCCAGGATCCGTCTGTGTGTGGTGGCTCTTGATGCACTGACTCCAGCCTCAGTCCACTCCTTGTGAAAGTCCCCAACACTTTTGAATGGCCTTTTCCTGACAATCCTCTCCAGGCTGCGGTCATCCCTGCTGCTTGTGCACCTTTTTCTTCCACACTTTTCCCTTCCACATAACTTTCTATTAATGTGCTTTGATACAGCACTTTGGGAACATCCAACTTCTTCTGCAATAACCTTTTGAGGCTTTCCCTCCTTATGGAGGGTGTCAGTGATGGTGTCAGGTCAGCAGTCTTTCCCATGATTGTGATTCCTACTGAACCAGACTGAGAGACCATTTAAAGGCTCAGGAACCCTTTGCAGGTGTTATGGCTGAATTATCTGATTAGAGTGGGACACTTTGAGCCGAGATTATTCCACCTTTTCACAATATTCTCATTTTCTGAGATTGTGGATTTTGGGGTTTTCATGAGCTGTAAGCCATAAATCATCACAATGATGACAAATCACGGCTGGAACTATCTTGCTTTGCATGGAATGAGTCTATCTCATATATTAGTGTCACCTTTTAAGTTGCTGCACTGAAATAAATGAACTTTTGCACCAGATTCTCGTTGTTCCAGTTTCACCTGTATGTCCCTTTCTCTGTATTGCCTAGAGGGGAGCACAGACTTCACCTATCTACATGCTACTGAGGAAGGTGGAGCCAACAACAATCTTGCTGCTACTACAAGGCCCAGGATATTGGACTAGTTTTGGGGTCTTCTGTGCCTCTAACCCTCTCTGCAAGATTTAGGAGGAAATTGGACAAGACATGTCATAGTTGGATAAAATAACTTTTGTCATTTTCACAGCTCTGACACAACGACACACCAAAACACAGAACGATCTGATGATGAAGATTGTACATGTATGGAACACTCTACAAGGGTTCTCCAGACGTAGGTGACCCATAGTGCCGTGTAGGTTAGTCTCGGACAATGAAACCCAGAATGTCCAGCCTGAGCTTTGTTTATGTTGCAGGATTCCTTACCTCCTAAAGTCCTCCTTAACTAGTTGCCGACCGCAGATAGCCGAATGACAGCTGCACTGCGGCCGGCCAGTTCTGGGTGGACGTCATATGACGTCCTCCCAGAACACGCTCTCCTGCGCGCCCCAGGGGGCGCGCACCCGGCGATCTCCGTGATCGCTGTGTCCTACGGACACAGCTGATCACGTGATGTGGTAAAAGGCCAATCACAGCGGCCTTTTACCACGTGATCAGCGGTGTCCAATGACACGCTGATCAGAGGGAAATGCAAGTGCCGGTTCTCGGCTGCACTTTCCTCACGCTGTCAGATCGAGAGGAAAGTACTGCCGAGAACCGGCAGTTGTCAGAGCGGGGATCGGCACCGATCATCAGGGCACTGATGATCGGTGCCCAGCAGTGCCACCCGCAAGTTCCGCCCACCTGTGCCCAGCAGTGCGCCCACTAGCTCCGCCCACCTGTGCCAGCAGATCACCCACCTGTGCCCAGCAGTGCCACCCACCTGTGCCCAGCAGTGCACCCACCTGTGCCCAGCAGTGCCACCCACCTGTGCCCACCCACCTGTGCCCACCAGTGCCACCCACCTGTGCCCACCCACCAGTGCTGCCCACCAGTGCCACCCACCAGTGCAGCCCAGCAGTGCTGCCAGTCAGTGCCCAGCGGTTGTGCCAGTCAGTGCCGCCAGTCAGTGCCCAGCAGTGATGCCAGTCAGTGCCGTCTATCAGTGCCGTCTATCAGTGCCCATCATCAGTGTCACCTATCAGTGCCGCCTATCAGTGCTGCATATTAGTGCCGCCTATCCGTGACACCTCATTAGTGCTGTCTATCAGTGCCCTTTAGTGCTGCCTATCAGTGCCGCCTATCCGTGCCCATCAGTGCTGCCTCATCAACGCACATCAGTGAAGGAGAAAAATTACCTGTTTGAAAAATTTTATAATAGAAACAAAGAAACTTTTTTTTTTTTTTTCAAATTTTTTGCACTTTTTTTATTTATAGCGCAAAAAGTAAAGCGCCCAGTGGGGATTAAATACCACCAAAAGAAAGTTCTATTTGTGAGAAAAAAATGATCAAAATTTCATATGGGTACAATGTTACATGACCGCGCAATTGTCAATCAAAGTGCGGCAGCGCTGAAAGCTGAAAATTGGCCTGGTAAGGAAGGGGGTAGAAGTGCCTGGTAGGCGAATGGTTAAGGACCCCCAGCGTTTAGTGGTGGACTGAAATTTCCCCCCAGACTAGGATTAGTGAGAATGTGAACAGATGGGTGCCAGTCACGTTTGGACAGTTAATATTCAGACCCATAAACTACGGGTAGAGGGGGTTAGGGTGATAAGGCAAAGATTCACCCTGATATGTCCTAACAGAGGTGACCAACTGCACCC